AGAATGTATTAAATATAACATTTGATGAAAATAAATTAAAATTGGAAAATCTTACATTTGTTAACAATAATAATTTATATGATTAAAATTAAGTACGTAATCCATTTTACCAGTATTATCGTTAAGAAATGTTTGAAATTAAATGTGATATGTATTTATCTGACTAGTTTCGGTTCAAAAAACCATCTTCAGAGATAAACTATAAGAAATGAAATATATAATAATAAAATTCTGAACAATTTAAAAGTCTTACAAATTAATATTGAAATTAAAAATGCAAAAATGTATGAAAAGTACTTACAATCAAAATGTAAGTTACCAACATTGTAATTAACTTCAACCTCATAATTATTACTTATTAAAAACAATATTAAAGTCAATATATATACGCTAAACATATTTAACAAACTAGACAAACGTTCTGTAGAATTAAAAGTCGTGTAATGGCGACATGTAAAACAAGTTTCGAAGCAAGATTTCAACGTCGACGTGGAGAATAAAAAACCGGTTAAACTCTTGTTAAATTTAAGTTCAAATGTTCAAAAATTATTATGCTAAGATAAAAATAGCAATATAAGGGATTTATAAAATTGGGAATTAAAATGGGATTTGAAATTATTAAAAAAAGGGGGAGAAGGTGTTAGGATGGGAAAGGTGTGGCCGCATTGACCCCAAAAAGCGCGAATAATATATGCGGCACAAATATATTAGGATTTAGATATTTATGCCGCATATTAATAAATATAATATAATACAAATTTTAAAGTTAAGAGAATCCAGGAGGATCCTCAATCTAGCCAGGGAGGAGTTACATTTGCCAATCCTGAAGGGTTGCAATAAAATAAGAAGTAGGAGTTAGAGATAAGCAGCTTCTATTCAATTAGATGCAGCATTACAATTAAGTTAAGTCTACTTTTAATCACATACGTTAATTTTTCAATAAAATAAAAATAAGTTTCAAGTTTAAAAGTTGTTTTGATTTAATTTGATTTTAAATAAATTCTTTTTATTAAACCTTAACCGCTCGACACGACTTGAAACTAGTGCAGTTTTATTGCTAATTGATAATGCAGGTAGCCACAATAGAGAGTTTATTAATCATCCACACGTAAAAATTGTGTTTTTCCTAAAAATTATATATCATTGATTCAACCACTGGATCAAGGAATCATTTCAACACTTAAGGCGTACTACATACAATTAGCATTCCAAAATTTTTGAAAGACTGGAAAATGATAAAAATGTAACGCTTACTCAAGCTTTTTAGGTTGTGTTGCAATTATAGATTTGGCTTGCAGGGAATTAAAACAGTCTACACTTCATGCGTGTTGGAAACTGTTCTTACCACAAATGGTTCAGAGACGAAACTTTAACCCATTTCAGGAAGCATGGATTTTTGGGAACTTCCAATTACACTGATGATTCCAAAAATATTTATAAAATTGCATCGATTGCTTATTTAAATTTAATTGATCTGCAAGAAGGAATAGCTTTAGTTAAAAAATTAGAAAATTCTTTTGTTGCTCCTTCAGTAGTACCTAGCGGAAAATTTAAAACAGAATTGCAAAGTTCTTTAGTTCTTTAGAAATTCTGAAAGAATTGCAAAATTGAAACAGGCGGGTAATAAATAACTTTTGTAATAGTGGAAAAATAACTAGAGAAGAGGGGTTTCAAGCAACTTAAAAAAAAATAGATTAGCTGTAATTATTACAAATATATTTTTGTACATATATTCCAAATATTTTTTGTTGTATTTTTAATTTTTATATTTCATCATAATGTTGTATTTCATAATTTTGTTTTTGGCTTAAATGGTACACATTGCCTTAAATACCTTATGCTAAAGACTAAAAACGGGATTTAATTATGGTTACATCCTAAAAGACATGCAGAATATATGATAACTACATAAATAAATTATTCTTTGCCCAACTCCAGCATACCAAAAATCCACATCGTCGCAACCTTTCACCCTTCCTTTCAGTTCGACTTGGGGAGGAACTTGAAGAAGTTTAATATAACACCTGTCTTCAAAACCGGAATAACATTATTGAAATATTATAAAACTTGACAAAATTGTCTGAACACTTTCTAGTTTAAAGTTTTATAGTTATAAACAACAATGTACTTGGAAATAACATTTCTCTAAGAGTGAAAACTCGCACAATTTCGACTCAATTGTGATCGCGATTCATATTTAATATCGATACCGGCTCGAATTCAAAACGTATCAATTTTTAGACTTAAGTTTAATTTTTAAATTTACTTGATACTATTCAAATCAGACTCGTGTCGACTTGATACCAAAAGTTGGCTCACTAACATTAGCTCATAAAAGATTATTACTTTATCTTGTTAAAATTAATCTATTACCTGTTAAACTGAAGAATTGTCTTCAAAAGTTAGACTACAGCAAAACCATAGTTGGTGTCATTATATTGTTAATCAAAATAACTTTCTTGAAGGTGGTTTGTTGTTTCAGTGCACAGTTAACTGATGCACAACTGAGAAAAAATCGGTACTATCTGTACTTTTAGAGGGTTGGCATCACCTAAAATACGCAAAAAAATATTAAATAAAAAAAGCATATCTTACATCTTGTACATATAAATGTTTGATTGTAATTAGAAGTAAATGTCCTCAATGTACCTATTTGTTATCTACCAGAAGGATAAATTTAGGATACACAATTTATGAATACATTGCAGTATATTATTATCATTTATAAACTATACAACTACAATTCATGCTGAGGATGCGTGACAAAGCTTTGATATCATGGGAACTGATAAATAAAATAGCATTACAGATTATGTAATTTCATTGAAATTTTATCTCTGACTGTTTGTCTGTGATTATGATGCCAAGCTATTATTATGAATTGTAAGGAAGTTACATAGTTTAATGCCGAAAATCAAAAAGGTTCAAAAATATTATAGTCTGTAAAGTAGGGGATATAGGCGATAAAATTATTATAAATGGTTTATTGAAAAATCCCTGAAACGGGTGTAAAGATTTAAATTTTGTTTAGATATTTTTTCAAATAGAATAAAATTAATGATTTAAATGAATAAATAAAAAATTAAAATTAAGTTAAATGTTAAGTTTACCTTGGGCAAATCCTAAACGATTGATGAAGATATCAAAAATTATTCGCTAAACTTCTCATATTCTGATTTTTTGTTCATCCAAAGTATTTTTTGGTCCAATGGTGTAAAGTTTACTCTTCAGATATCCCTAAAGGAAGAAGTCTGGCGGAGTCAAATCTTGATTATTGAGAAATAATTGATTGAAATAAGCTCGAACAGGAACGGCATAGTGTGGTGGCACGCCATCTTGTCGGAGAAATCACTGCCGCTGGAATTGAATTTATTTATTTATATGAGATGCAAACAGGATTAATCCCAAAGTAGCATACACGAAAAATAACAAAAATAAACTTTAAAAAAAGGCTTATATAAACTATAAACGTATAAGAAGATATAACAAAATATACCAATTTATTAAGACCTGTCTGAAAACAACTTACTAATAAGCCGACGATTAATAATAAATTCTGCTTCTGTTGCTTCTAGTTTAATGTGAGCGTCATTTTAAAAATAATGAATTCATTAAATATTGTTATTCAAAATAATGAAACTTCATTTGATGAATAAACAGAAATTTTTTGAAATAGTCCTAATAATTTAATAAAATAATCTCTAATTGCAGTCTAACTTGGTTATAAACAGGTCTATTATAACCTGTTTGAAAGTAAATGACTCCTATCGAAACCTTGGATTAGCCGATTCAACGTTGTAGTTTAACACAAGCGTCTCAACACCATGTGGATGATATGAGTTATCTCAAAACTAATAGAAATAGAAGTCTACGTATTCGAAAAGATAAAATAATTGATAAATAATAATTGTCAGGCATAAATAATTTATAACGATTTCCGCCAGATGTCCGCCAGAGGCCGAACACACATCCGGTAAACAAATGTTAGAGTTTTGATAAGAAACGTGAAACACAAATGCGAAATAGAATTTAAAAAAATAGTACCAAAAATAATAAAATGTTGGATTTAGAAATTCATTATATAGAAATTTATATTGACAATAATTTTATTAGGTCTATTTGTAACCTAATCTATTTGTAAAATTAATTCTTTTTGAGATTTTTGTTCCCTTTATTTTTGTCGAATTTGCGTAATTTACCTATTACTAAAAGTATTTGCCTTTTTTTTATTGTGCATTATGGATACTAGGAACCTTTATGGGTTTTTGATTTATTGTTTTCTGAATCTTACCCCTTTATGTAAAGATGTTTTTACATCGTTTCATTTTTTGAATGACGCTTTGAATAGAGTGGAAGAAATTGACGATGAAAATTGCAAGGTGCGCGGGTTTACCACAACAAGTAGCTGATAAAGCAGAATTACATGAAAGTGATATCAGTGAGGAAGAATCCGCTGAAACAGAATCGTAGACAACATACAATTACAGTGGAGAAAAAATGAAGATGTAAGTATCCCTACAAATGTAGGAATTGAGCACGCTGAAGAGATTCTTTCTCGCATATCTTTACGCAACAAGATATAAAAAACACAATTTCAAGGTCTTTGAAAAAAATGTCTCCGTTTCTTGGATTGCTGTTGATCAGTGGCTATCACAGTTTCCCCAAAAAAAATGATTATAGGTCAACAACAAAAGATATGAACTTTTTTACAAACACTTGAGCATCGATGAAACAATGGTTCCTTTTCATTCTACGAAGATGTTCATAAAAAACAAACCGTTTCAGTTTGGTTTCAAAATATGGATGCTGTGTGGGACCGATGGTTATCCATATAACATGGAAATATATTGTGGGATATCACTTGGACAAAGTAAAGAACCGTTGGGAACACGAGTCGCTAAAAAAAATATTATTTGTTGTTGAAAAACTTGCTCAACACGTAAATTACATTTTAGTAGTAGTTTATTAATTTTTGCCAACTTTTTCTCCGGTCACGCACTATTTCGTCACTTGTCAGAGGTAAGCATTCGAGCTTGTGGACGTGTACGTGAAAACGGAACAAATAAGTGTCCTTTGACACATTCCAAAGCGTTAAAAATATGAAAGAGGATCTTACGATTACAAATCTGACGGAACGGTAACATATGTCAAATAGAATAACAATGCAATAGTAACATATCTTCAGAGAGTTTCTAAAAAGGGTAAAAGCAGAAAACAAAACAGACTTGATACAAATTTGATAAAGAGATACAACGAAGGAATTGGTGGAGTTGATTTCTTAAATCGTCTTTGTTTCACCTACCGATCAAAATTGAGACAAAAAAAATAATTTACTTTATATTATACAAAGTGTCCTGAACCAAAAAGAACAAAACCGGCTATCTGATAACTCCTTAGATGATTTTTAGGATGAAAGTTTATATAAATTTGTTTTCTAAAATCATTACCTAGTTCAGAGAGTTTCTAAAAAGGGTAAAAGCAGAACACAAAACAGACTTGATACAAATTTGATAAAGAGATATACCGAAGGAATTGGTGGAGTTGATTTCTTAAATCGTCTTTGTTTCACCTACCGATCAAAATTGAGACAAAAAAAATAATTTACTTTATATTATACAAAGTGTCCTGAACCAAAAAGAACAAAACCGGCTATCTGATAACTCCTTAGATGATTTTTAGGATGAAAGTTTATATAAATTTGTTTTCTAAAATCATTACCTAGAATGTTACAACTTGATTTGAAACGTCTTTTGGTACACAAATGACCGTGACGCATTTTCTGACACACTGAAAGGTGTCTCTTTCTTTTTCGAAAAACCATATTTTGAGCCTTTACCTTTATATACGAAAAATTTGTACAATCATTTATTTGCCTAAATTTGTACAAAAAAAGCAATATACAGGTTTCCCAAGGATAAATTTTATAAAGGCATTAAAAACAGTTTTTGGAAAAATCGTTGAGTCGGGTCTAAAGATTGAAATTTTTTGGTTAGATTTTAAATTTTTCCGCCATTTTTAAACGAGTTATGACGTTATCGATGTTTTTTTCAAATACAAATGCAATTTTTTATTAGGGCATTCGAAAAAGGACTGTTTTCTGAATTTAATAGTCAATGAACAATGAGACTTACTGAACTGAAAGAATTGAAATTCTAATCATGATTGGTTTCGGAGATAGAGTTCGAACACACAACGAAGTCCAACCGAATTAAGAGTAAATTTCGCGAACTTGGACATGTACGAGGCTAAGGCCGAACGTCCATCGTCCTTAAATGAAGATCAGCAATTGAATGCTCTGCTAAAACTTGCTGGAAAGCTGGAACTTTGCGATGGCGACAACGGAAATTCTGCATTAATTAAAAACATTATCTTTTCTGATGAAGCAACGTTTTGCTTAAATGGTACCGTCAATAAGCAAAACTGCCGTTATTGGGCAGTTGAAAATCCCTGCCGGCTGGAATAATTGATTATCAAATTATTGGACCGTATTATTTTATTGGAACGCTGAATGGTGAACGGTATTTCAACACTTCTTCAGTTAGAAGTACTCTTTAGTAACTTATTATTAGAAAGAAATATTAAAAGTACAAATAAGCTAGAAACGTGCCCTATTATGAACTAAAGTTATTCCCCAAATTTCATTTTCCTGGTGTTTATAACTCTCGTGAAAAAAATTAATCCAAAATTTTCCGCCATTTTTGAAGGGGCGTAGAAATAAGCCATACGAGGAGAGAAGGGTTCGTGACAATCGGAAAAGATGGGTCTGGTGTGTGTTTAAGACTAGACTATTCCTTTATGTAGATAAAATAAAGGTGCGACGTCCAGTCTGGAACATACACCAGCGAGATTAGATGGAACTCCCCATATGGTTTATTTCTGTTTCTTTTTAATCTATAATTCTTTTCAATCGCTGTAATAATATTTAGAGATATAACTTTGAAAAACTAATAACGGAATGACCTGTTCAAAATTGAAATTTTTTCAAAATAGGGTACTTTTTTCATTTAATTTGCGATAAAAAGAAAACCGCGGCGCCGAAAATAGAAATGTTCAGTGATCACAACAAACTTCACCACAATTTTTTTTAGAGTGGTTGCGAAGATATCGATATCTACAATGAGGGGCCATGACTTTTGACATGGATAGTTGCAAGTGTAAAGTCCAAGAAGTAAGATATTTTTAATTTAATCAGATTGGCTGTGAAAAAAACACTATTAAAAAGATGAGCCTTCACAGAAATGCAAAGAAAATGCTTATTGGCATTGTTGGTGATGTCACATCGAAATTTTTAATTGTGTTAAATTTTACACTTTTTCGCCCTTTTTTTTATTGTAACGACTTATTTAAATCGTTTCCCGTCGATTAAAAATTTTTTTTTTATAAAAATTCTTACCTCATCCTTGCCGACATCTTTTTTTTAATCATTTTCGAATGCAGAATTGAAAACCTGCCTCTTTTTTATGTTTATTCGATGACAATTGATGCAATATTCAGGCATTTCTACGTTGTTTTTGAAGAAACTGTTAACACCACAAAACAAGCTTCTCGAAGCCCAACTCGTTTTGGAATGAAAAGGATAGAAAGCAGAATGGCAACCATGGCGACAATAGTGGGTGATAGTGGAGCTCAACGAAAGAGTTCACGCGTTACTGAAACGACATCCGATGGAATATAGTTTGGTTTCTCGGTAATAGATGGCACGGTTTAAATTATTCTAATTTATAGATACAATTTATTTTTGTTGGTTTTTAATTTATTTGTTAAAAGCAGCATTTAATTACATAGATAATTTTATTTGAAGTATAATATAGTTAAATGGGCATTTTTATATGTGCCCTTAGAGGTTAGTTTTTCCTCAAGATACAACTTCATGGTAAATTATTATGGTAAAGTGAATACATAGAATTGAAGTACACACATTTTTCTACGCATTGAAGTATTCGGGTGGTAAAATTGCTGTATTTGTAACATAAAAAAATCCTAAAATTTGTCATAATAAGCGACTTTTACGATAAATTAAACATTAAATTGAGACTCCAACGCTTCAAGGATACTCGTGAAATGTAGGAAGTGACTACGTAAAACTAACATAAAATTGAATTGTTATTATCTCAAAATTTGTGTAATGGCAAATGTGCGATTTCGTCGAATTGGGAATTCGTAAAGAAATCTGTATATGTCAGTAAAACAAAGCTTTGTCATCCGCCTCATAGATGGCGCTAAATATTAAATTTTGAGTAAATGTTATCCATTTTTATCACTTATTAATATTTAAATAAATAGAAACAATTGTACTTAGTGATAATATTATTTATTCGATCTTTACCGGTTTCGGCTCACATTAAAGAGCCATCCTCAGAAGATATCTCCTTAAAATATTACAATAAAATTAACAATCAGCAGAGTGGAGGTTGTGGTTTTACTTACGTCAGTATGGAAAATAATTAAATGGTAATTGATAAAATCTTGATAAAATTTGCATATGTCAGCAGATTAAAATTTCTTGTATAATAAACGTCACAGAAATTACGATCACAGTTAAAACACACAACAAAATCGACAATAACAACGTGTTTGTCAAAAACAAGTTAAAAAATCAAAGTCTATACAGAAATCTGTAACATTGTAAACACATTGTATACAAGTCAGATCAAAGATAAAAACAAGAAACGGATAATTTATGTATTAGTATATGTTGAAATTGGAAAACCAAAAACGGTATAGTAAAGTACGCTTCGGGAGAAATTATCGGTAGGGACTAAATGGATTTTTTAAAGTTTCGTATAGGTGTGGAAAAATTGGAGTAGTTTGTTCATTTAGAATAAGTCTGTTAGGGTTATTCTTTATGAATTTCTGAATTTCGTACATTTCTGCTATCTCCATTTTATAACTTTTATTCATTCCATGTAGTAACTTAGTATTTTTGTTGATGTCGAACTGATGGTTACTATAGTTTAGATGTTTATTAAAAACTGAGTTAGATCTAGTTATATGTTCGTGAATCCTTGTTCTTAAGCTTCTCCCTGTTTCCCCTATATACGTTGCGCCACAGGTGTCGCAGTCTATTTTGTAAATGCCATTATTATCTAGTATACTAATTTGGTTTTTTGCATTGTTCAAAATGTTTCTGATTGAGTTTTTTGTTTTAAATGTCAATGTTATATTATATTCCCTGAAGATTCGCTTCAAACTACTTGCCATGTTTCCGGGATAAGATATGGCCCTATATTTTCCAGTATTGTTCTCTGAGTCATTATTTTTAGGATCAGTAAGTGCAGTTATATTATATTATAAAAAAAAATATGATTCAGAGAACAATACTGGACTAAGAATAAATAAACTAAATACAACAACTAAGAACCTTTTACACTATAATAGTGTTATAGATAGAGACCGGACTAAAAAGCACCAAAAACGCAGAAACAGGCACATAAAAGGCATTCAATTTCAATGAAAAAAGCTTTAAAAAGCATTTTTTTTAATAAGACATAAAATAAGCATAAAGACTAATAATGTAATAACATTTTATTTTCACTAAATAAACATTTCTCTACAATTTTTGTAAAAACTACTAAACCTTATAATCTAAAAAACATAAATTGTTATACTAATTTATTTTTCCTATCAATTAATACTAACCTGGTAGACTCTATTGTATTTCTAATCTTAATTTTATATTCATGTATTACCTTCTGAACTTTATCCTCTAAATCAGGGATGAGCAACACGCGGACCGTTAAAAATGTTTATAAAATAATAAACATGTTAAAATTGAATTTATTTTATTGACTTTCTGCCATCAATATATTGTTATAAAATTAATTATAATAAAATGGTAGTACTTACCAAACCGAAACAATTTTTTGTGACGAGTTATTCACTTGTCGGCGACTTGTTCAAACATGCAATACAAACGCGCCGCGTCTGTGCTTGTTTGTGGTTGCTTCTGTCATACAATCAGTCAGACTGGTATGCTTTTAACTAGCAATTTTAGCAATTCTTGTGTTTCTTGAAAGGCATGAGTGCAATATTATTGTCAAAAAGGTAACATTAGAGTTTTTTTATTCAAAATTAAGGTTTCCTACAAATTTGTTTTACTTTTAAATTTTTAATCCATAATAGCATGACGGAAAAGCAAACAAAGAAACGGAAGGTTGCGGATAAGCACAGGCATTTTCAAGAAAAGTGGAAATTTGATTATTTTTTCAGTTTCGTCAAAGATAAAGCTGTATGCTTAATATGCTCAGAGACTGTGTCGACATTAAAAGAATATAACATAAAAAGGCAATACGACACAAAACATGAAAAACAATATAAAACTTAACAAGACAACTCCGGATAGATAGGATATTTTATCAAATACGGCAGTAAAGGCTAGTTTTGTTGTCAGTCAAATACTTGGAAAAAAATGAAACCCTCTGCGGATGGAGAGATGATAAAAGAATGTCTGACTGCTGTTGCAGAAATAGCACTTCCTGATAAAATAAATATTAATTCAAACATTAGTTTATCAAGATTCACCATTGCAAGGAGAATTGAAGACTTGTTCGAGAACATAGCAACAACGCTTCGTGAACGCATTGCAAGATTGAATACTGTTCTTTGGCACTTAATGAGAGTTGCGATATTAGAGATACAGCACAACTGGCTATATTTTTACGTGGTATTGACACCAAATTTAATATTACCGAAGAATTGTGTTCACTGATTCCCATGAAAGGAACTACAACGGAGTCTGTGTTGGAAAATTTTTCAATTTTATTAGAAAAGATTATTGGTATATCGACAGATAGAGCACGAGCAATGTCAAGCATGAAGGTAGGAGTATCGGGAAGGCTATTTCAAGACATTAAGAAGG